AACATTCACTGATATGCTCAGTGCAGCTCTGAGCTGTAGGAATTCAATGCTAACCACCCCTTCCCCAGTCAATCACTATTTACTGTCATAAAGTAACTGGGACTCCCTGTTGGAGTATATGGTATTATGACTTGGCTAAACATTTTCATGAATTTTACTTCATAAAAAATACTCACTCTGTCCAGATTTAGATTTCTAAACACTCACTAAAAGGAACCATGATTCCTAGGAGAAATGACTGACCCCAGGTCCGAGGCAGGGGAAGCACCAGCTAAATCTAGAGTATCTTGGGCCAAAAGTGACAAAGTGCTCAAGGAACAGTGGGGCCAAATGTGAGACAATGTCACCATCAAATGGAATATAATGACAATGGATTATCATACAACCAATATAAAACAAATTCTCCAAACCCAAAATCCACAGTGATAATAAACAAAGGGTGGGGTGTCTAGAGAAGAAATGAGGAGAAAGCTGCTGGCAACAGACATTCACACTGTGCAGTGCCACCCACAGATTACCTGCCAGTTCAAAGAGAAAAAGACACAAAGCAAGTGCAACCTTAACCAAGTGATCAAACTCAGAGTCACTGGTAATGGGACAAAGGGACACTCGAGCATCTGTGTGATACCATGGGAAGTTACACAGCATCATTTACACAGTATACAGTATTCTTGCCTCAGATACTTAACAGCACCACAGCCAAGAGGACAAAGTAAGACAAACCCAGAGTGTGGAGTCTTCAATGCCCTGGACTGGCCTGGACTTGTGTAAGTCATGAAATACACACACAGAAAGGTGGGAAGGAGGGAGAGGAAGAGAGAGGAAAGCAAATGTGGGAAAAACGTTAACAGTGAATTGAGCTACAAGCTACATGCAGATGGGTGTTCACTGTACTATTTCTAAGTAAATTCAAAACTTTCTAGTAAGTTAAAATTTTTCCAAAAAAAAGAAGTCAGTGAAAGAAGCATTCAATGATCAGCTTGTAGGAATGATCCTTCAAATATGGGAGGAGGCACTTTCCCCTCAGTTGGGGGACCTGATGGGATTAGTCACCCTGACTTGGTGCATAATTAGTTACCTGCTGCTGTGCTGAAGCAGAGATCCCCATCCCCGCCCCAGCAGCTACTACTCTGAGTAGAAAGACAGAGGGAAGAGCCTGACTGTTGGGTTGATACAACTTGCCTGCTAAAAAAACATATTCTGGACCTAGAGACAACTCTAGGTTTGTCATAGCTTTTCTTCTAAGGAGCAAGGGTCTTTTAATTTCATGGCTGCAGTCACCATCTGCAGTGATTCTGGAGCCCAAGAAAAGAAAGCCTGTCACTGTTTCCATTGTTTCCCCATCTATTTGCCATGAGGTGCTGACAAATCTAGACAGCGTATTAAAAAGCAGAGACATTACTTTGCTGACAAAGGTCTGTCTAGTCAAAGCTATGGTTTTTCCAGTAGTCATGTATGGATGTGAGAGTTGGACTATAAAGAAAGCTGAGTGCCGAAGAATTGATGCTTTTGAACTGTGGTGTTGGAGAAGACTCTTGAGAGTTCCTTGGACTGCAAGGAGATCAAACCAGTCCATCCTAAAGGAAATCAGTTCTGAATATTCATTGAAAAGATTGATGCTGAAGCTCCAATACTTTGGCCACCTGATGCGAAGAACTGACTCATTGGAAAAGACCCTGATGCTGGGAAAGATTGAAGGCAGGAGAAGGGGACGACAGAGGATGAGATGGTTGGATCGCATCACTGACTCAATGGACATGAGTTTTAGCAAGGTCCAGGAGTTGGTGATGGACAGGGAAGCCCGGTGTGCTACAGTTCATGGGGTTGCAACGAGTCAGACATGACTGAGTGACTTTAGTGAACTGAGAGACAACTGAGTTTCTAATCACCACCATGAAATCGGCCAGTAATCATGCACATGTTCAACTCTTCTGGGTTCCCCCTGAATCCACCACTGCCCACAACCCCTCAGAGTCAGGTCACAGGCTTAATCCCATCCACCAAGGCAGGGCAGCTGGGCCCTGCAGTGGGCTGAATCTTAACTTCTTTTGTCTGACTTAAAGTTCCAATGATAACACAAGCTCTGATGAATCCTAATATAATTACCACAGTCTCCAGTGATAGCTCTTTTAATGCAAGGGCTAATTTGAGGGTAAAGCAAGAACTCTTCTGTTAGGAGAGATTTTCGGCTACAAGGAATTAATTTTAGACCATGCCCTTTACGTATACCAAGGGTGATGATAAATTTCAAATGTCAATTACTTGCATAAGGAATAATTTTTAAAATGGACTTCACTTTTCATCATGTTATCCTGGAACAGTCACGTATGCTTAGTGAGGGATTTCTAAGGCACAAAATGAAATTTATAAACAGACAGTATGAGTCTGTACATGAAGCCTTTGCTGAAATATATTAGCTTCACAGCTCCTTTCTGATTTTTCTGTTTTAAGAAAATGAGATGACATTTTATCATTTAATGGAACAATCACATAACTAGCCAGACTGCAGGAACATTATTTGGCTAGCAATGCCTTTTAGAACTCTTCCTGTTAAGGGCAGTGCTGATGGAGGGACCTCTCTGAGGCAGGTTTGGGTGATGACTGGGTTCATTTGCCTAAGAACGGCAGACACCTGAAATTCAGATCTGTCCTCTGGAAGGCTCCAGAAGGTTCTGGAACTCCGGACGTCCTGACACACACACACACTGAGCAGCATAGCCTCATGAAATCTGAGACTACGATGGGCAACAATGGCATCCTGCCTGTTTCTGGACACCTCAGTCACCGGGACAACAATACTCCTGTCCACCTACAATAGCTAGGACCTGTTTAACTCCAGAGCCAGGGCACGAACAACAAGCCTCACTTCTGGGGCAAATGGGAATACAGAAGTCAAGTGACTCAGGTGGCATCACCCACATTGGATGGGATGGTCTCCAGATGGCAACGCTCAGCTGAGGGAAACGTCCACCGGTCCACCAGCCACCGGCCCTGCTCCTGGCTTGGGTTCTGGGTCTTCTCAAGTCAGTGGCGGTGCCGGGGCCTCTGGTGGCAGAGGTCAGCCCTGGAGCTCTCTCCCTGGGAGCGTGAGTGGGGGCCCTGGCTTGCTGAGTGTTAGAGGCCCAGGCCAGGGGTGGCTGTGATGTGGGAACCTGGCTCCCTCACCCTTCTCAACAGACAGGTCTGTCCTAGTGGTCAAGGGGTCAGAGGACAGACCCCATCCCTGCTCTCAGGCTCACTCCTGGGAGCCGAAGCTGGGGCCTGGCCACCTGAGCAGTAGGGACCCACCTGAGATTTTAACTTCTGATTTTCCTTGTGACTCATCCCTACCATCCTTTCCCTTCTCTACAGGTAGAGGATGAGGTGCTGTGTGTGGGGGGTCCAGAGGGGCAGCTAGACAGGGGGAAAATGGAGGCCCCACGACCCACTGCAAAGACAGACGGTCCCTGGCTCTAGCACAGCAAGCTCCCCTCTGCCTGAGAGCTCCAGAGCAGTGGAAACGCTGCCAGGACGGCTCAGGATCAGCCAAAGTAGCTGCTCCCCTGGTTCCCGACAGCTCTGTGCTGGGGATGCGGAAGCCCCACCTCCCAGGGCAGGTCCCACGTCCGTGAAAGCTCGGTTACCTACCTGGACCGGGTCCGCTTCCTGCTGACTCCGGGGCTGTTGCTCATCCGGTAGGCAGTGGGGACGCTCCTGTCCTCCCGCCGTCTCTCGGGGGAGTGCGCTCGTCTCCGAGGGGACCGGGACCGGGACCTGGGCAGAGGAAGGCAGGCGTCTCAGCCCTGTGTGCGTGGCAGCGGGGGAGCGCCTCCACCACTGAGGTGGCGGCCAGCCCTGGCCTGTCCTCTGAGGCCCGCCCCCAGCCTCCCTACTCTGCTGACCCAGAACGGGATCCAGGCTCAGAGGCAGACCGCCTGCCACGCCAATGCTGAGCTTCTAACCGGGGCACAGCTCAAGCTGAGGCTGTAGCCACGCGCTGCTGCTCCCCCAGCGGGCGTCTCCCTGCGCGTCTTGGTGGACGGGGCCTGCTGCCACTTTTCCTCCCTCTTGCCTTCGCCCTAAAAATGTTCAGCTCACTGATACTCTATCAAAACTAGGGAAGGAAAGGCACTGAGACACTAGCGAGTTTTTCTACTTGCTCTGAACACTGGCAAGAGGAAGAAACTAAACAGAATAAAGTTGGAAGGTGACTTGGAAATTTCTCTTGTATGCATTCATCTTATGGGCGCTTAGCATGAAGAACGGGCTGCAGGCCCGCTGGCAGGAAGCCTAAACCTTCAATCCAATTCAGACCATGCCATTCCTGTGAAAATTTTGGCTAAATCATTTGTTTCTGAGATTTCTAATGTTTTACTCTTTCCTTTCCTGTGCCTGAAAAAGCACTATTCTATTCATGCAGTGTCCCACAGACACCAGCACGCAGAACTCCAACTCCAGACCCTCACCTGTGGGGTCAGGTCCTTAAGAAGAGACCTTTAATAATGGGTTTAGGACTCTTTTGGGAAATCTGAAATAACCAGATATCTGAGGAAAAAAAAAAAAAAAAAACCACAACCCCAAAACAAAACAATTTATTTCTGTTCTGTTTCTATGACAACACAGTCAAAACCAATGTAAAGAAGAGATGTTTTGATTTTTGTCATCTAAAAAAATTCTACACTGAATCATTCCAGTTACAACCAAACTCCCAAACAACACAAATGGTTGTTGCAAAGATCAGCCTGTAATCACATTCCACCCTCTGTGTCATGGAGAAAACCCTGAGTCATTCCTGAAAAAACACCACAACCACAGAATGAACCTGCTCTGGGATCAACTCCCCTGGACTCTGGGGCTCCTCCCACACAACTGCTTCTCAGCTTATACAGCGGTTTTGATTTTCCAGACCTTGCCTAAGATTTAAGTAACAGATTACAAAGGTGAGGTCAGTCAGACACCTTGACATTTTACCAGGTTTCCCCTCAAAAGAGCTCCAGGAGTCAAATCTGCTCGTGGTCGAGGCTGCCTGATAACTGGCCCGCTCTGCTGCTGCTGCCACTGCCGAGCTGCTCTGACAAGGCTCCGCGCTCAGCGTCCCTGGGGAGGCTGTGGGTCTGTGATACGGAGGTACACACTTCACATTCAGATAAAATGTGCTGAGCTGGGCATACTAGAACCCTGAAAAAAGGGCTCTGCTTAATCAAAACTATAGCACCTATGGAACGCTCAGACGCAGAATTCTGCAATAAACTCAATAATCAGGACAATGGATTAGTTTTTAATGTCTGCAAATTTGTAACTTTGAAATACAATACCATTTAGCAGTGGCTATGAGTATTAGATTTCTTTAAAGTGAAGTGGCTGTTACCAGTAGATTTCAAGTCATCTGGGAAAAAAGCCCAACTCAGAATTAAGGGCCGTGAGCTATGCCAGATAATACTTGGGTTTTATTATGATTAAAGAAGCTCTAATGCTTTTATTCTATTAAGTAGGCTCTTAATATTGTTACCACGACACAGTGCAAGAAACAGGAATTCCATTCTTTACGTAAATCATCTGTATAACGTGACCAGAGGCCTTATGGAGATGAAATAGTCTGAATTCAAAAAACTTCAAGCATGATGCAACTTGGATATTTTTTTCTTAAATAATCATAATGGTTTGCTGTCGAATAAAAGCATAAGGAAATCTTTTGCCTGAACGATGAGATATTTATAAGTAGCTTCTTCTACCAGCGTTTAACCACTTCTGTGACCCACTTCTTCACTCCTGTTACTTGACTACTCACAGGTCCTCGTGGAACTGAACAAGTTCACTGGTGCCCTGGCAGCAAGGATCTGGTACCAACTGGCTTGAACAACCAAGAGGACCCCAGGTTTTAGTTCTTTTCACTTTTGAACTGTGGACCCAACTTCACTCACAAATCCTTCCTCCTCTCCCGAGGGGCCAGTGTCTCCCACAGCTTTCCTCCCCAGCACTGCTATCAATGGCTGAGGCTCTGTCTGGGGTTACGACTCACTTTCGGGAAACCAGCCTGTGCGCTGTCTCCTCGTGGGAACGTCAGTGCCCACGTTCCTTTAGAGATCAGGGTCAGGAGATGAGCCACTCACTCACTGACTAGATATGCAGTTTACCAGGGGGAAGAAGTAAGGAATTACAAATTTCAAACTAAAATATGACCCCAATTTTGCCCACCTGAGTTCTTTTTGAACATTAAATATAACTGTTATAAAAGCCACATTAACCTCCAGCCTCTCCTTGAGTGAAAAGCCCTGAGGGAACTTTACTTCAGGAAGTGACACAAGGGCCCATTATCCTCCAGAGAGAGCACCCCAAAACGTGGGGGTGCAGAGTTCTACCTAGAAACCCCCTTAGACACAAACTAACCAATGAAATGACACCACAGGCGATCTTATTAAAAGCTTTACAAATAAACTGAATTTCAAGCTTTAGTCTCATTGAGTTTAGTTTTAAAATACCTAAACTGGTAAAACTGGATTTTAATTTTAGGCAGTAAATTGCATGAGTACATCTTTATCCCATTAAGATATAAAACCTAATGCGATATAAAAGCAGAAAACAACAGAGAAAGAAGTCTTATACTTTAATCAATGTTGATTTAAAAGACACTAAATACTGCCTTGCGGTAATCACTGTGCTTTCTGAGAAGCAACAGACTGATTTCCAAAACTAAAGATTTTTCTATGACTAATTCACCTTTGGAGAGCCAGAGTCATCAATAATTTAGACATATTTGATAAATGGGACTTCAACCACACAAGCATTAATACATTAACATAAAAATTACTTATGATAGTAAAGCTTTTTAATCTTAAATTTCTACATTTTACATAGGACTTTAGTAATTTAATATACAAAAGAAAATATATTTCAACTGTAGCATCCTACCCCAAGCAGAAATATTAACAAAAGTCATTTTACTTGAAGCTGGCAGTAGTCTTTTTAAAACAATCGATTAAACTGTGTCAGGCCCAAGAAACAAGTCTGATATATCCTATGTAGACATTATGTCTGTAATGGGTTATTCTATCTGAAAAGACAGTTAAAGAAATAATTAAGATTATTTATCATTATCATTAGCAACTTCAATATTTTGGTTAAAATTTAATTTTTTTCTTTTACATTTCAAACAATTCATATTACCAAGAACACCAACCTCTCTCATTTCATAACTGCTGCATTCAAAATTCATTTGGGTCCTTAGAAATTATTAATGTGAGCTTGGATTAAGAAAGCAGGTCTATAACCAGCTTAGAAAAAGATAACAGTTTTATCAAATAAAACTCACTCTTCTCAGAAATAAGAGCTGAGGCAGGATCCTACCTATCCTGTCCTGACTTATGTCCCTGGTACCCAGAGACCAACCACAGGACAGCTGGTCTCCTCCATACATCCAGCCAGACCTGCAACCCACTTCAGCGCCTGAGCTCAGAGGTGGTCTGATTTCAAGGAGCATCACTGTCACATACAAGCTTTCAAGGCAAAACTTCCTGGACAAATACTTTGAAGGTTTTGTCTTAAAAAAAAACAATTTATAATAAAGTTGCACTTTGCCTTGATACTTTAAGCTGTAAAATCAAACACCAAAGATGTGACTTATTTAGTGAACTTAAGTCATCTGATTTAACTAAAATTAACTAACAGCATCACATAGCTACTACTGTGTGTGTGTGTGTGTGTCTTAGTTGCTTAGTTATGTCTGACTCTTTGGGACCCCATGGACTATAGCCTGTCAGGCTCTTTTGTCAATGGAATTCTCCAGGCAAGAATACTGGAGTGGGTTGCCATTTCCTTTTCCATAGATATTACTGAGAATTTTTTAAAAGTTTGAGAATTATGAAAATACTCAGCTCTCTTTACACATAAAATACTCTGTTGGTTAAATTAAGGTAAAATTGTCAGCCTGCCATCACAGAACTCATATTAACAATGTTTTAATCTTAATTCTTCTTTAACTGAAAATATACACTAAGGATTAGGATTTTGCTTCTTGCACTTGTCAGCACTGAATATATGAAAATATAAAATACATTTGTACATAAAATATGTAAGTCTATTCTAAAATAAAAGCTATTTAAAAAATACTAACATGATATACATAATGACTTACTCTACTATAGATAGTCAATAAAAACCATAGAAATCCTAGAAAGTTGAAATTCCAAGTGTTTCATGAACACTTCTAGTTCTGAACAGACCAACCTGGGGAAAAGTCTGTGGCCATTATGTCTGACCAGATGGGTTCAGGTAAGAACTAGACACCTGCACCTACTGTCTGTACTAAGCATGCACCATGAAAACCAACTCATTTCTTACATAAGAAGTGATCTAAGGAGCCCTGAGCATTATCAGGCCCTCAGAACCGGATTTAGGAGTAGATTATACTTTCTTCTCTTTGAGCCCTGAAATAAATGAAATCTAGGAAGGATTTTACTGGGTATGGTTATTATTTATAGGGCTTGTACAGGCCTATTTATTTACTTCCACTATATCATAAGAAATTTTTTCAAATAAGAAATCCTAGTTTTGATATATACATACAAGTTCCTCGGGACTTTCAAAAATTGGAAATATGTCAGCAAAGTCATTCATTTAATTAAACAACAATGTGTGTGTGTGAGAGAGAGAGGGAGAGACAAGGGACAGAACTTCTAAAGAACAAGCAAAAATGCAGAGCTGAAGATCAAATTTATTTATTATGGAGGTAAACCTAATTTCATTGTAGACAAGAGCAAATACTTATCAAGCCGTGAAGATCTGGTCTAGGTAAAAATTGGGAAGCATGTTGTTTTAGGGTATATTCAAGAAAGGCTAATGTGCATACAAGTACTGTTTTTTAAAACATAAAAAATAAAAAGTATAGGGCCATCTGCATTTTTCCCATGGAAAGGAAAGAAAAGAACATCAATTGTAGAAGAAGTAGATTAGTACAAGTGCTGTGCTAGATGACATTCAGTAAGAAATCAGAAGGCATGAGGTAAGTTTTAAAACTAGAAACTTGCTTTTCTGAACCTCCTGCAAGTCAGATGCTTTAAAAATCAGAGAAGTACCTGCTTCACTGAGCACTAAAGTTTGTGATCCTTACAGGTTTTCATGTTTATTATTTCTGTTGCATAAAACCTTAAGCTGCTTCCTCAAAAGCTAGCTCCTCAGAAGGTGGCTTTTGGTTGAACAGTGACTGTTAGTGGGAGGTTGGAGAAGATTAATTGAGAAAACAGATCTGTGCCGCTGTGTTTCCTCCTTTACGGGCGCTTGCAGGTGCTGTGCCAGTGAAGCTGAACACAGCCACAGTGCACATGTCTCTTGTTTTGGCAGATACACATTCTAAAGGAATTAGCCTGGGAAAGTCGACCCATTCACCAAACAAAACACCCCCAACCCTGTGAATTTTCCACACATTTTCAGCAAATACGCTAGGCTTGCTTCCAAGACCTGTTAAAAATTTAAATACCTCTCTTTTGAGAAAAACCTGGCAGTAGTTGATGAATTTTGGAAAGTCAGGTTAAAAAATATTTTGAAAAGATATTGCAGGACGCATCTCTGCGTAAAGGCACGCAGGTGTGCGGGTCTGTGCTTGCAGCGAGCCGGGGGAGGGGAGCTCCGCGCCCCCTGCTGGCGAGCAGGAGCAGCGGGATCCGCCCCGCACCCGACGCCCGGGCCGCGGGGACGCCCTGCACACTCACCTCGAGCGCCGCGCTGTCCGATAGGCACTGGGAAGACAATGCTTTGCTTTTGAGTGGGACCTAGACCTTGACTTGGACGAAGAATGGTACTTGGGAGACCGCGATCTTGTTCGAGACCGTTTTTTGTGCTTTTTCTTTTTCCTCTCTCTCTCTTCTTCTCTCGGCGGCTCTTTGCTTCGGCTTGAGCGCCCTTCTGGAGGCTTCACGTCTAGAGTCGGCAGAGGTCTGCCCCCAGCCAGCAGAGGACAGGGCACTGAAGCAGCCTCCTGGAAACAGAAGCACACGTCCGGGTTTCAGCAAGGAAGGCATGCTGCTTCAGAATGTGCGTTTATAAGATCCCGACCGTGGCGCTCTCTCATCTGTTAGAGCAGCCCATGCCTCCGTCTGTGGCTCTACATCTACCCCCGGCATCTCTGGGAGAATGATGGCTCCTCAGAGGCCAAGAGCACGAATGCCTACCTCTCACGGCCGAGCCTTCCTGTGCAGGGTCCCGTCCCCAGCCTGCCAGGCTCTGGAGGCTGGATCTGAGAAAAGAAACGCGGCACATGGAGGGCTGTGTTAGGAAAAGCGCCCCGCCTGCTCTTTCCTAAACAATTGTGACTTTCCACTTTAAAAAAGGAGGTTCTTCAAACTGCTAGCACCAGGTTTGGATCTCTGCTCTGCGTGAGTCAAAAGAGGTTCCTCTTTGATTAAAAAAAAATTCGTCACTAGGAATACTCATGTCTTTCTTTGTATGAGGTTGTGGATATTAACTTACTGTGACGATTACTGTGTATTATATATGTAAGTCAGATAATGCCATGCACCTTGAACACACGGTGCTACATGTCAACTGTTAACTGGAAAACGGTCCCTCACCATCTGGTGCTACAAGGATGAAATCACTGGTCACTGGAGTTGCTGACCTTTGACACACCCTGAAAGAAGTTCCGGGCAGAGATCAGGAAAAAGGCCCTCTGCGCTCTGGGAAGAACTGGCAGAACGTGCCTTCAGATAGCTAGACCTTTACAGGAGAAGATTCTAAGAGCCATTCTTGTATCTCCTCATGTCTAGAAAAGCACTAACACCGCTAACGGAGACATCTCCTCATGACAAGCAGCCATCTTCTGCCAAAACGTGTGCTTCACTGCACATACTGCCTTAACCAAACTCATGTATATACGGACCCTGCCCCCCACCTCTCAGGAGCAGTTCCTCAGAGGTCTGAGAGGCTGTCTCCCGAGCTGTTATCCTCAGTTTTGTCCCAAAGAAAACTTGATGTGCACCTTTTTTCAGTTGACACAATTATACCTCAGTAAAACTGAAAGAAAAAAAAAATACAGCCACTAATGGGAACCAAAGACAAGACAATCCCATCAATGCAAGCCAGCCTTACTCCACATGTGTCAACACAGCAAGGAGTTTCACTTAGTGGGTCATCATTCTTCAGACCTCTTTATCCAAATAAGACAGATACACAGAGAGCGCACAGATCTTAGGGCTGCTGCCTACTGAACTTTCATGTCAAGACACCAGCAGTGTGCATCCAGAGCAGTCCCATTTCTAGGACTTGTTTACTATGGTCCAACCAGGAAGCGAATTACTACTCAACTTTAAAAATGATGTGGTAGTCCTATTTTATTGACATTAACACTGTCCATGTCACACTGTAAGATAAAAAAATGAATTTACAAAAAACCAAAAAAGCCACACACAAGAAAACCACAAAAAACACCCCCAAACCACATTTTATATTTACAGTTGCAGCCACCCATCTTCAGCCCCTTCCCCTCATCCTGAGAAAGGTCATTTCCTTGATCCAGTTTACATGAATTTTAACTATAGCCAGTAAACACCATACACAGAGATATACAGAAAAACCTGGAATTTATCATTCTGTGCCTCAGAACTTTCAAGCTGTTAAGGCTCATAAAAAAAAAAATCCCAGGCAGGGGCTGCAGCCCTGAGTGGGTGCTGGCTGTTGGCAGGTGTTGGGCTCCAGCAGGCCTCGCCTCCCCCTCCTTGGGTCCATTTGGACAAGGCCAACTGGACGAGGCAAAACACTTTGTGCAAATGATTCTTCTGAAGTTATGCTTCTTCCCCTGATTTGAGAGGAACCGTGATGGTGGTCCTGTGGGGCAGCCACCAGACAAAGATGTTGCCCCTCTGTGAGGGGTACGCCCAGAGAACAGGGCTCTGCCTTCCTGTCAGCCTTCTGTAGTTTACACTTACAACACACTGTCTTTACATCTTTCACTTACTGTGAGCTGAGAGGCAGTGGGGCTGAGAATCGCTCAAGAACAATATGCCCAGCTCCCAAAGCAGTTTATTCCCACCGAAATACCCTTAGTAACCAGGACCCTGTGGAAGGGCACACGGCCACCTGGTGTTCCTGTTTGGCCTTCACTCTTCTCCATCATGGCAATGCTGCCCAGGGCATTTTTAAGGTTTTGCTTAAACTGTCTCCAGGGAATCCATTTCATCATGAGACAGTCTGTATCAAAAATGTCTTTCTCACTTCAAATTATTTTAGTGCAGTAATATTTTTCTTCTTTTTTTTTTTGTGTGTGTCACTTGGCATGCCTTCAAGGATCTTAGTTCCTCAACCAGGGATCAAACCTGTGCCCCCTGCAGTGGAATCGAAGATTCTTAACCACTGGACTGCCATGGAAGTCCTGCAATAATATTTTTTCAGGTTAAATTTTAAAATAATTGGTTCTTGTTAAACAATTCTAACATGTAGATACAAAACTTTACATCTAAGAACACGTAATTCCCACTCTGGCACTCTCTAAACACACATACAAAATGACACAATAAATTAAGACTAATAAAATGTGGTGAGTTTTCTAACTTTAGAGGTTGGAGGAAGGGAAATGCTGCCCCCCTCACCCCCGTATCCATTGGCTTGTAGAGAACTCTGCTGTTGCCAGGCTGGAAAACCAGCTTTTAGTGCATTAAAAAAACCCCAATAACCATGGACTCTAAATTAGGAATATATATAGGGCTTCTCAGGTAGCACTAGTGATAAAGCATCCACCTACAATGCAGCAGATGCAAGAGAAGCAAGCTGGATCTCTGGGTTGGGAAGATAGCCTGGAGGAGGAAATGGAAACCTACTCTAGGATTCTTGCCTGGAGAATCCCATGGGCAGAGGAGCCTGGTGGGCTACAGTCGATGGGAACACAGAGAGTCAAGCACGACTGAGCACGCGCATGTGCACACACAGACACTACATGAAAAAGTGAGATGGAACTGAGGGTAAAAGTCACCACTAAGAATTTCCAGGCGAGCACACGCGAGGCCTCTAGGAATGCCTAAGGTCAGGGCCCAGGGACCACAGGGCAGTCAGGGCTGCTGTGGGGAATTTCCCTGGGAACCAGAGAGCCCGTTTTAGGAGAACTGAGACTCTATCTCTTATGTAAGTGGATGGCTGAATGAAGAGAAACACAGGATGGCTTTCTCCCTCTCCTGCACGGGAAAAGAACAGAACTGATGAGTGATAATGAGCGCTGCACTAAGAGGGGGAGAAGGGGGAAAATATGTCCCCCCAAGGACATCTGCAAAGGACAGGAACCAGGGGGATGAGGCGTTGCAGGCAGCCACGCCAGGCCAGCAGGAAGGGTGAGTGCAGCTCATTAGATGAATTCCTATTTATACGGTACTGCCAGGCTGATGATTTGTATCTCTGAACTTCATTACTGCTTCTGGTGCCTTTGTCCTAATGCCCATCGTTAGTAACGCTTATTTTACCACTGTGGTTATAGTTTATTTCATTTTGAGGTGAGGGAATAAGTAAATCAATATATTAAAAATATAACTCGCAATTAAGTCATAGGATCTATTTATTCTAACAAAATGATCGATTACCCTTCACCATTAAAGTAAAAATCAGCAACTTGAGGGTGAGGGTGGGCATGGCGCTGGGCAGAATTAAGATGATGCAATATGATGACCTCACTGTTTTTTCAGCTTAAAAATATAAAGAGGACATTAAAAACCCAGCAGTTAGACTTGAGAATAATAATAATAACAAAAAAGGATAACCAATCCTACACGCCCAGTGGTAGCCCCCACAATGGTGACTCCAGGGGCAGGCTGTGTGCGCCAGCATGTCTCAGCGGTCTGGAGATGTATGCTCTCCACAACATGCTAGTACTTCTGAAAGCCAGAAACTTCATGACACATCCTACAGCCCAGGGCAGCGGCTCTTGTGACCACACCTGGAGGAAAGAGACTCAGGTCACACCTCTCATGCAGGGTTACCAGCAGCCAAGGGAGGAGCGCAGTTTAGCCCGCAGTGGTACCTATACCCAGAATGTAAGTAAAAAAGCAGAGTTTAAGAGACTTGCAGAGATGCAGGTGCTCTACCCAAATATAAGCAGGAGGACCTGGTCTCCCAGGGCCCCCATGGCTGCTCAGGAGGTGGGCTTCCGTCGCCTCCAGTGTCGGGGAGCATCCCAGCACGTGGCACACGACAGGACAGGGGTGTGTTCCGGCTTCTCCAACTGCACCTGTGTGCATAGCTGGGGGTGGGCACACACTCCAGCAACACAGAGGAAGTAGTTCATGGATATTTATGACACAAGCCATGGAACTACTGGGTTGACCAAAACGCTCCTTTGGTTTTTAAGTAAAAACAAAAGACACATTTTCATTATCCCCAAGAACTGCATTGAACAACATACTCATCATTCTATTCTACTACCTTCTGCTGTTTTTCAGGCAGTTTTATAATTCCAGGGATTCCCTGGTGACTCAGAGGGTAAAGAGTCTGCCTGCAATGTGGGAAGCCTGATTTTGATCCCTGGGTCAGGATGATCCCCTGGAGAGAAAAATGGCAACCCACTCCAGTATTCTTGCCTGGAAAATCCCATGGATGGAGGAGGAACCTGGTGGGCTACAGTCCATAGGGTCGCAAAGAGTCAGACATGACTCAGTGACTTCTCTCACTTTTGTAATCTTTCCAACTTTTGAATCTTTGAATCTTTCCAACCACTCCATCTTTCCAACACTTTTTATCTTTTTGAGCCAGGTGCCTTTTACAGTCTTTCAGGAAACTGAAATTTTTTCCACTAAGAGAACTTTGTAAAGACTGAAATACATGGACATCTGAAGGTGCAATCTCTGGTGAACACAGCAGATGGATCAGAACTTCCCAGCCAAGGAAACAGCTGCCTCCTCAGCCAGGCAGTTTTTGCCTGATCATTAAAGAAATGCGCGATCTTGTGTTACCCCAATGGAAGATTCTTTGTTTTCTGTTGACTATTTCCAGACGTTTCTTGTT